TGTTTAGTACTTTTGAAACGTCAACAAATACAAAATAAATTATAGTCTGTCAGTCAGTCCGTCAGTGAAATTAGGTGAAGCTAGGTTCTAATCCACAATTTGTATATAAAAATAAGTATTAACATTTTCTGTAATCCGAGTTGAACCTATCTGTAGAAATTACAAAATTGAACCCTAGTTTACTATCTAATAGTATATAGATTATAGATACTTCCCTTACCTCTACGGTAAATGTTTCCGGTTCCGTGTCTACTTTATGTATTGTGTTAGAATAAAAGTAACTTTCTAAAGTTAAACCTGTTTATTCTTATTAAAACTTAACGGCCCACACACACTTTTCATCATGTATGAAGTAATTAACTAATTCTTTTATACTTATGCAAAACTTTTAAAAAATACGTTTTTGTTCAGTAAAAATTAATTATAATATTTTTGGGGCTCATTCAATTGCTTGACGAGGAACCCGACAAGTTTCAAGGCATACTAGAGGCTCATATTGAGCAGTATTCCGCGGCAGCAGCGACTATTGCGGTATGAATGTTAAATGAATTAATACTATTCATTAATCTTTACACAGTTTGGTCAATAACATTCATCAATAGTGTTCCAGTGTAAAGCCCACCCTTTCAATAGCTGTCATCAGAGCAATCGATTGTTCAGCTGTTCCAGAACTTTTAGCATTGAAAAGTAGATTCTATTCGTTTCTCTTAGGGTAAAATTTTCAATGCCTGAATGTTCTACATCGGTTAGCAGCAGCCTGTTAGATCTTATCCAACGTAATGACATCTTCATAAAATGGGACGTGGTTTACTTGTTTTCTTGAAAAGGATAGGCAGAAGTAGTAGGTCTTGTAGTACTCATTTGCTTAAGTTTAATCCGTTGTTAGTTGGATATAAAACTTATTGTGTAGCTGTTGTGGGATCAAGTTGAACAAAAACGATATAGGTACATTCCATAAAATATTAAATGAGCCGAGTCCTGATAATGCGAGAATGTTATTCAACTTCATGGCTCTGATTCATTGATCTCTAGTTGATTTATACCTTATTAGGTTACGATGGGACTGACATACGCTGTGCAGTATAAAAGTCCCTAAAATTAAAAAGGAATAAAAACAAAAACTGTTGTGGGATCGAGTTTTGGTGTAATAATCATTTAGTTCTTTGATAAGTATATTAATAAATTAGAAAACAGTAATAAACATTGATGAAAAAATTTGTTACTGGTACATGCTATTTATGGTACTTATACAATTTTAGTTTGTATACTATAAGCAACAATCTACAATCCAAAATCGAAAGTTTACAGAAAGACTTATAAATCAAAAATGATCTCTAAAACAAAGTACAATAAACATGTAATTGAAATGTCACCAGCGGACGGCCCATAGGCAATTACATCAGCATTCCATGGAACGCTTCTATCGAAAGCTTACAAATCAAAATGCCAGGTGAACCATGAAATGAATACCGGAATCCTGTGTTTCCCACGTTTGAAGTGCTATGATGGATGGCCCTCCCACACAGTGCTCGAGAGGGAGCCTGGAGGGAGGGAGGACTTCGACCCGCATCACGTCGAGGTTCTAGAGGTGTGCCTCATTTAATTCTATGACAGCTAATTCAATTGAAACCTCAAATTGGAGTTCCGGTATATTTTTCATAAATTAATTAGCAGGAGTTTTACCTAAGGGATATTGTTTAGCATTTCTGTAGTGTTATAATATTGTTGATGAGTAGATATGACCGTGTAGGTAGGTAGGCAAAAGATTATTATTTGAAGATTTTTCTAATAACAAATTTTACAATAGGAAACTAATTTTTGATATTTGTGATGATGTTTTGTGTCTAGACTACAGTCGGAATTTTAATTCGATTCCAGATTTGACATTAGCTACTGTCATTTTGTGAAATAATGATACCACATATGATAGTGTAGTGATGAACGCAAAAATCGATAAACAGTGTGTGTGTTTTATAATAAATGTTACAAAAAGTGATAGCATAGCGATAGCGATGACGGCGAAAATTTATAAAATGAATTATTACCATAATACATCTATCTGTTTTATTTGTCATACGTTCCTTCATGATTACATTTTTTATTTATTTCACACACAATTATAAAAGAAAAGTCTCAGATCGTTATATAATCATATTATAACATAATATTCTAATTGGGGTGTATGAGGGTGTGCGTTAATTATATATAAATATATATGCTGAGAATACAAGTTTTATAACAATGAAGCATAATAAAATCAACATCAGAATACGTCAGTTTTAATGAGAGAAAGAATCTTTTCGCTAGACTAGCAGCACTTTATAAAATGCTAGACGAGAACTAGTTAAAATTTGCAGCGTAACGTAGTCTGACGCTAATGGAGTCAAGTGCGTCGTCTTTTGTTTAGTTCAAATGAGATTTTCTCAAGCCATGCTGTAAGACAAAGGAACTTAATAATTTATTAAGTTGTGATTGCATAATGTATGGGCTTGTCATTTAATTTTTTTCTAAATATCTTAAAAACTCAGTTGTAGCACGGATTCTAGAATTGTGCCCGGTATATGGCAATAGGCCCCACCCCTACCACATGGGACTTACAACATAAGTGGTGAAAAGTGGGTGTTACATTGTACAGTGGCATAATGTGCACCTCTGCCTACCCCTTTGGGGATAAAAGGCATGATGTTATATAATTATGTTAAGAACGTTTCGTTAGCTCATGTCAAAATAAAAGTTAGAATTTCAGTAAATGATTGTTTAATCTTTTTGTTAACGTCTGTCAATTTCACTAATTTAAATTAACTCGTCGAGTACCGGTTTTGCATTTGCTTGGTATTTGACAGTTTAAACTGTCAAATACCAAGCGGTCACCGGTGACCGCAACCTATTGTTCTATAATTGTGTCTGCAAAACCGGTACTCGACGAGTTTGTAAATAAGTTTTATTTTTCAATGTTTAATGTTAATTCTCCACGAGCTCTCGGTCCGTGCTCTTGTCATAGAATTTTTTACAATACGTGTGTTTGTAAATTAGTTTACTATATACATTAAATATTATTGTAAAATTCCTCTTGCAAGTAATATGCTTCAAAATAACACTTTGTCTGCAAATCATTCGAAATTTTTAATCTTCTCAGAAACACAGAACACCAGAAGACTTTTTAAAATTATATCTTACATTTACATAAATATGGAACCACTGTTCTCGTGTGGTTGAAGATTTGTATTCACTGTCTCTCTCCAACACATAGGTTTTGTGGTGGTTAGAAAGGAATAACAATATTTTAAATTTTCATATTATCTTTTCAAGAATTACACCCGGTTTGGAATGGATTGCGATGGAAATTATGTAAATTTTGGCTTTTGTGACTGACTTAGTGTTGTTTTTACGATTTATTCTACTGAACTAAAACTCGAATGTTGTTTCATTATAATTCATATTCAAATTCGCAAGCTATGTTTGGGGTCTCATCTCTTATTACGGGGATTTATAACGTAACTCATGAAATGTGGGTATTATATTATTACTAGCGACCCGCCCCGGCTTCGCACGGGTGCAATATGCATGTATTATACATACAAACCTTCCTTAAGAATCACTCTATCTATTAAAAAAAACCGCATCAAAATCCGTTGCGTAGTTTTAAAGATCTAAGCATGCATACGGACATACAGCAAAAGCGACTTTGTTTTATACTATGTATTGATACTATACATTATTAGTACTAACTGTTGCCGCAACTTCGTCTGTGAATGTTGTTCTCGTTTTATCCTATGGGAGTGTAGGCTGCTCAACTACGTTTTATTATTTATCATTTCATTATTCTGTTCCTTCCTCATATTCAAACTTTTTACTGTTAGTTAGCTTACCTCTTTTCTTTAGTATTTTCTTCTTCTAATAG